CCACTGCCTTCAAGTGCCTTCTCATGCCAGCGAGATGGGGGAACCCGGTTTGGAAGGTTGGCAGGCCATCCTAGCGTTATTTTTACTATTTTTAATGTTGTAACATACAACCATATTATTTATGGACAGCAATACACACAACCCACATAAATAACATGGTCTATTCTCAGCGGAAAAGGTCTACTATTCGTCGCTGAACTTTACTGAAAGTTCAACTCTTCGTTCTAATTTTAGTTTGGTTCGAAATAAACACAGTAGTTTCTAAATCAATCTCTCACACGATTTCATGCTCACATGGACATTCCTTTACCAAAACCTAAAGACTTTTGAAACCAAAACAGGGCCTAACCCAGTCGAACACATCTAAGGGCATCCATCTAAAAGCTCCAACCCTAACCTCTTGCACCTACATAAGCAGGTACAGTGAATAAAATTTTGTAGATGTGGTAGATGGCATGGAGATATTTTATTTAAAAAAATGTGCCCTCTACATCCAATGAATAAAAACCATATATCATTCCAGTACAAGTACAAAGAAAGCTAGAAGAAGAAAAAGGTGGGATGCCAAGATAACCTACTTACTTTTTTTGACCATGCATCTGGATGAAAATATCAATTCACTCTATCTTACGCCATGCTTTTTTTTTGTTTGTAGGTGGTGAGATGCCCATTCTTGAATGGCGGCTGCGATGCAGTGCTATTTGGGCACTGCGGATGTGCAATGCTCGAGGGGAAATCAACAACGGGTGGGCGAAGCAACGAGATGAAGATTTTTTTGGACCTTTGAAAGATCGTGGTTCGATTACATTGGATTCAGCCATTTGAACTCTAAACTAGTTTGGGTGGGGCAATCCACGGCTTTTTATAACACGATGTTCATAGGAACGAAAAATATAAAAAAACATGTTAGCACTCGGTTTAGAAAGTTGAGGGTATATTTGACCTAAACAAATGATTTAAGAAGAAAGGTGAACTTTTGGAAAAGTTCAAAGATGAAAAGTAGTCTTCCTTGATTTTTAATCACAACTAGTTGTGATCGAGTGTAAATCTCAAACCTCATCTGTACAATAAAAAAAAACTATCATTGTGTATTTAATATGGACTTTCTATGTCTAGCATTTCCTTCCTTATCCCTTGGCGGCTAGAGCAAACTCTCGATGCAAGCTTGTGGATTCGTCTCCCCTCTGCCTGTTGCTCCACCAGCCGGTGGAGGGGAGGGCAATCCAGGTCCATCCACCATGGTTAGAAGTTTAGATTATAGATTTTTAGTCCTCGCAGGTGCGGCGCTTGGGCGAATGGGTTGCTTCTTCTTTGAGTTTGTCTTCTTGTCTTTGATCCATCTCGAGTTTTTTTTGTCTAGACGTAGGCGCCGGAGTCACGACGTTGATTCTTGTCATTTCCTTGGGGCAATGAGATTAGGGTCTCTCCTCGAGATCTGGTGTCAGATACTTCAGGTATATTCCAGGATTAAACAACCACAAATTACGCCTCCAGGGCGCTGGTCCTCAGGGGCACATGCACGAAGACTTCATGGTTGTCACTGACAAGGTCAAGCCGGCTCAGGTATGGGAGCGGTGTCAACGACGCGTCGATGGCTTGTTTTGGTGGTGGAAGTGGCCGTTCGATGGTCTCAAAATCTAGATGTAATCTCTACTCCTAATGGAGCAGTTAGTAGTCTCGCTTTCAGTTTTTTTTAGCCCACCTCTCATGGTTTTTTTGGTACCTCCTCCCACCTTCACTGGTTTTTTTTCGTAGATTTTTTTTCGTCCCCTCCCCCCACTTCATTGGTTTATTTTCACCTCACCCTCTCACACAACGAAAGAAATATGAACAGATCAGAACTTTCCATACTGGCGCAAGTTATTTAGTAATGTAGAATCAATCACGAACAATCTCTAAAGATCATATCTAAATTAATTAACCTTACCTTAAATCATTCAATCACATTAATTAAAAAACAAATATTTGATTTTCAGAAAAATCGCTCAATCACATTAACCTTACCTTAACTCACAGATGGTAATCAATCTTCAAACAAAGGAAACAATACATCGAGAGAGCAGTAAATAAACTCCCTTTCTTATGACATGTATATGATCTTTCTTCCCTCTCCGTTGTCGAGCGTTCTTGTGACGCCCCCGATTTGATCGTACACTAATCATACACGCAAATGTGTACGATCAAGATCAAGGACTCACGGGAAGATATCACAGCACAACTCTAGACACAAATTAAAATAATACAAGATTTATACTACAAGCCAGGGGCCTCGAGGGCTCGAATATATAAGCTCGAATACACAAGAGTCAGCGGAAGCAACTGTTGGGGAACGTAGTAATTTCAAAAAAAAAATCCTACGCACACGCAAGATCATGGTGATGCATAGCAACGAGAGGGGAGAGTATGATCTACGTACCCTTGTAGATCGACAACGGAAGCGTTGACACAATGTAGAGGAAGTAGTCGTACGTCTTCCCGATCCGACCGATCCAAGCACCGTTACTCCGGCACCTCCGAGTTCTTAGCACACGTACAGCTCGATGACGATCCCCGGGCTCCGATCCAGCAAAGCTTCGGGGAGGAGTTCCGTCAGCACGACGGCGTGGTGACAATCTTGATGTTCTACCGTCGCAGGGCTTCGCCTAAGCACCGCTACGATATGACCGAGGTGGAATATGGTGGAGGGGGGCACCGCACACGGCTAAGGAACGATCACGAAGATCAACTTGTGTGTACTAGGGTGCCCCCCCTGCCCCCGTATATAAAGGAGCAAGGGGGAAGGCCGGCCGGCCCTATGGGGCGCGCCAAAGGGAGGGGGGAGTCCTCCTCCTAGTGGGAGTAGGACTCCCCTTTCCTAGTCCAACTAGGAAGAGAGATGGGGAAGGAAAGAGAGGGAGAGGGAGAGGGAAAGGGCCCCCCTCCTAGTCCAATTCGGACTCCCCATGGGGGGGCGCGCCACCTCCTGGGCTACAGCCCTCTCTCTCCCCTCAGGCCCACTAAGGCCCAATACTTCTTC